AGTAGAATAGATAACTCTAGTAGAGCTCTATTTTATAGACATATTTCTGTTTTTAAGTTTCAGCCATATCTAAATATTATCATGTTGAACGATTTTGTAAAGATCTCGCTAGGTTAAGAGTATCATCTCATAGATTGCAAATAGAATCAGGTAGATGGACAAACCAAATAGTACACCTTTAAATGATAGAAAATGTTTTTCATGTAATGTCTTAGAAGACGAATACCATTTCATATTAGAATGCAATGTATATAATGATTTAAGAAAAAGTCTGATACCGTCATATTACTGGAGACGTCCAAATATGTCAAAATTCATTGAATTATTAAATTCTGAAAATGTATGCACATTACGCAAATTAGGAAAATTTGTAAACAATGCTTTTACTCTAAGAAAAGAAAGATTATACACAAATGATTAGTAGTCATTATTGTTAAGTTAATTATATTTATTTTGTTTTGAATAAGTGAAATTTTTAATGAAATGGATAATTATGTCAATAATATATATGTAAATGCATAGTTAAATTATTATGCTTAATAATTTTGAATTAGTAAATGCTTTAGTTCAGAAGATATACATGTCAAGGATATATATTTGTAAATGTACGAGTCGTATAGCTAAATGATACTTAAGATTGTGCGTCCTTTTAAAATCGAACTACTCTATAGCTAAATTTACTGATTAATGGTTATGTTGTTCTTGTGTTTTGTTTCGGAAAGAACACCATACACCTACTCGAACAAGTATAAATAAAATGTTATATGATACAGTATATACATCCGAGCTTTTGTCAAACTCATTTAATAATTTAAATTGAATCACGTTCTATAGCTTAATTTACCGACAAATGGTTGTGTTGGTCTTGTATTTTCTTTCGATAAGAATAGCATACACATACTCAAGCAAATATGAATATAAACTAATATAATGCATAATATATATGCACGTATCGTATCAGATTAATTCAACTCAATGTATGAAGTTCACCTCTCTGTAAGTTTTGCTAGACAGTGGTAATTTATTTAACATTAGGTTAAGTTGAATGTCCTTTTGTTCTGATGTTCATTTTAATTGATGATATACAATTTTGTGTATACCTTCTCCACTTACACATGTTATGTATATGCTTTTACAATGTCTTGTCATGTATCTGTATCTGTTTATCCTCATGGACCATTTGATCCAATGGAATAGTGAAATAAAAACTCAAACTCATCATCTCTAGTTTAGGGTCTGATATTTATATATTATTGTAGTGGTTACTTTATCAACATACGATTCTACGATTCTAAACATGATGTTACGTGTATAGTAGAGTTCTAATGTATATCATGAATATTTAAAACTATGTTATTGATAAAAGCTTAAGGTATGAAATGATGTAATATTAGAACGCATTTCCGGTCCGTCAGGAAAATATATACAAAAAGTTTCCCTATATATAGAACATCGCGTTTACGAAAACATTCATTATGCTAGTTTAAGGGGAAAAATCTTACAAAACAATATGCAGAACGGCAACTTTTTTTTCCCTGCTGATGAGTTGTAGACGTAGATGCTTTACTTACCAAGGATATCTATATAAAGTGAATGATTTTTCAATGAGGTAAGCCGTTAGGCTAATAAATTTCAAATATTGTTTGGGGATTATGAATAGAGAAACAGTTTCTCTAAAAAACACCTAAAACGACGAAATTGAAAATGTTGCAGGCTCGGTTTTATTGAGCCTGTTTGTAGACGGTAATGGTAATTGCAAGTTACCGTCCATGTTCCCTGGTACCGGCTTAAGCAGTATCCAACATTAAAACATGAAAATGGTGAAATTTTTAATTTAGAAACATCCGCAGATGTGTTCATATGGTGATTATTAAGTTTCAATTTTAAAAGAAATGAGGTCTAATAATACTCTTTTGCATAAAGAGAAAACATTTTAACTCGAGACAAATTATTTTAAACTTAAATTGTTTCGCCTTTTGTTAATATTATTTGTATATCTTAAAATCAACAAAATCAACAAACATCCGCAGAGTTACCTTTTCAAAAAGTTTATGAATACATCATTCATTGTAGTTTCTTAGAATACCTTACAAGAGATTGAGAAAAATATGCAATAAAACAATTCTGATGAACTTACGTTGCAGCCAGAATCACACAAAAGCAAAACAAAAAGCGTATGGTCCCTAAATAAAAAGATACATGTGCCCTTAACAAGAAAACAATGGGCGTAGAAATACTGGAACCACCCAAACGAAACGTCTATGCCCCCCCTACCGCACCGGTTAAAGCAGATTCGGCATTTAAACATGAAATTGGTGAAATTTAGGATTTAGAAACATCCGTTTATTGCATATTTTCATACAGGGATTATCATAGAATAATTTTACTTGAAGTTTTAACACTACATTTGCCTTAAACCTTTTAAATATCGACAGATAATTTTTTATTGCAACAAATGATTTCAAAATGATGCAGATCTACTTTACGAAAATTTCTGTATCATAGAATTATAAATGAAAAAGGAGTGTTTTTCATGAAGGATATTGTGCATAATAGAAGAAATTTTGTAAATAATGAAAAAAATAAACTCATATTTTTTGTTTAACAACGTGAAACTTCGAAGAATGTCACTAAAAGCATAAAAGTCACAAAAAATAAAATATACGAACACCAGTTATTTCATACCATTCGAGATATTATTTAATAAATCATATACTACTTTGCAGGAGTGGAACTTTTTGTACTCGTATATACAATATACTTGCTGAAAAAAGTCCTATACCAACATGTAAATAAAAACAGAAATTTTGCTTAAAAAGAAATGATCCATCGTGGTAAGGTCTGTTTTGGGAAAGTTCCACGAACAAATACAGTATATTCATCTTCAGTGGCTTCTAACATAAAATTCTTGGCACTAACTATCTGATAAATGAAATAAATATCATCGAGTGAATAAATAAAAATGGCTGCCGCTTTTTACACCCACGCTCCCCTTAATTTTGATGATCAAAAGTATTTAGAAAATCATCATACTGATTGATTTGTTGATTTTTGTTGATTTTAAGAACAAAAGGCAAAGCAATATAAGTTTAAAATAATTTGTTTCGAGTTTAAATGTTTTGTCTTATGGAAAAGAGTATTATTAGATTTGAAGCTTGACATCCGCTCTATGAACACATCTGCGGATGTTTCTAAATTCAAAATTTACCATTTTCATGTTTAAATGTTGAATTCTGCTTCAGCCGGTGCTAAGGGCGTGTACAGAAGCTTGCAATTACCACTACCGTCTATGAACAGGCCCAATGAAACCGTGCAGGTAACATTTTAATTTTTCCGATATGGTCATACTTTAGTGATTGTGCTTTTCTCCATTTCATATTCAATTTCATGTACATGTACGAAGGTAGTTGTATGCAAAAAGCATAATTCTTTTAATGTATTTACTATTTTTACCAACTACCCCTTTACCATATCTTAGAGCCAGTTCTCGGGGGAAAGTATTAGTAACCAAATATATGTTTGATGTAATTTATTGCTCATATGAAAAACACAAATTTAATTGCAATTTATTGACAGGAAAAACTAAAACAGAGAATTAAAATGATCACCCTTAAAACAAAAACTGTATTATGAAAGTACGTCGTATTTGATTTTGCATCTCCACCCGCTGTATCAATTACAGCAATGCTGCATCTTGTTTCAAGGTTTTGTATTTCCGTCGTCTGCTGAAGTTACAGCAGGGCAACACGCCTTGTCCTCATTGATGTAAAGTGTCTGTAAGGATGCTGTTGTGAACTGATCTGATGAGTAACATGACTTTTAGTGCTGTGCACGATCTTTTTGGTTCAATGGATCTAAAATATAACACACATAAACTGTTGTTGACCACTCGTATATCTTTTATTTATTTATTTATTTATTTATTTATTTTTTGCAAGCCTTTCCCGTCAATAATATTAAATAACTATGGATTGATAAAAGCATGATTATGTCATTTTAATTGCATTTATATATGAATTAATAAAACAGATTACGACTTTTTCAACGACGCTAAACTTACCAAGAATCCAATACGAATAATTTCGACAGCTTGATGGCGTTCTGCATAGTCATTCTTGTTATAAGCGCGTAATTATTTTATATAGGGCAAGCTGCGACAAAAATTTATATGCTCTTGCAATGCGAGCACATAGCCTACTTTTACAGGTGCACGATACTAAAATTTATGTCGAAAAACATCCAATTTTATGTTGTTCATAGTCGTTTATCTGAAGAACACGATTAACTTGATATAATCTTACGATATATATGTAGAATTTCTCTGAATATATTCACAATTGTACATGGTATGCGGGTTGCTACTTTTTGTCAAACAATTACTCTTCCTTAAAACATTATGTTACCTTATGTAACGTTACGATAAATATGTATTATGTTTTACTTGATTTACTTTATCAAATAACCTTTTTCAGCGATTGGTCGGACTTTCAGTGACACCGACATTCCATATGTTATATGACAACTTTCCAGGCTTACCGGCGGGTAGAAATCCTCAGGCGCCACTCCGTGCATCTCATTAGGCAGGGGTTAAGGGCCGCCGTCCTTTCGTATGGAAGTTAGAAACCATCATCATTTCAATATTCCCGGAGATATGATTTCTTTAATTTTAATTCAAATATAACAATGTATTTTAATTCGCAGGAAATATGCCCACTGTACTTGTTTTTTTTATGGTTTAAAGTTAATTTGTCGAATTAGTTTTGGGTATTTATTTATTGAGTTCACAGCCAACTATACGTATGATTCAAATTATTGAATATTGCTGTTACCATTGAATCTTTGTCCATGTTTTATACCGTTGTTTTTTATCAATATGTTGTGTGCTGATTGATCTAATAACCTATTTGACCAGATCATTTATTGGATGCAGGTACTTAATTAGGCATGTCAAACGTAAACACTTGTTAAAGAATAAATTTTAAGTCAACATTGTAATTTTATTTTTGAATGTGTTGAACAAATAATTATGTTAACAAATACACTTAAAAGCAGTTGCTATATTCTAAAGACATTTAATGAAAAAGGGAAAAATAAGTTTTATGTAAAAGTATGTACGATGTAATGTTTTTGCAATAAGCCACAAAAAAGAATCTATTTGTGAATATTTACTGTGTGCCATAGAGAAGATATTTTAAGAAAAGGACACAGTTTTTAAAATAAGGTTATAAAAGCTTAAAACAGAAAATAAGATTTATTGTAATGTCATGTAAGCGAGATGATAAATGTAGAAATGATAATCATTGAAACATAAAACTCTTCATAAATTAGAAAAGACATTTTCTTGTCTGATGATCTCCGTTTATTGATCGAAAAACAGGTGAAGTGCTGAATTACAATTCGGTTTTGGGCGGCAAAAATCAACCTGAAATATATACAATGTAGAAGTAAAAGTCTCTTAAATACTGGAAGAAAGGACTATACACGAAATATCCAAACAGTGTTAAAATTTTCAACGATCCTCAAGAATCAGATGGTGGTGTTACATATGAATTTAAAAAAGTTTAATGATCGTTTAGAAATGCACGATGATGTTACAATTGAATTTAAAAAAGTTTAATGATCCTATAGAAATGCACTGTTACGAAGAAAGTTTTATAATTACACGGCCGTGTAACAATTAAATTTAGGAAAATTAAATGATTCTACAGAAATACCCGTTGATGTTATAATTGAATTTAAGAAAGTTGGATGATTCTAAAAAATTAACGATGAAGTTACATTTGAATTTAAGAAAGTTAAATGATCCTACAGAAATACACGGGCGTGTTACAATTGAATTTAAAAAAAAATTGAAAGATTCTATAGAAATAACCGGTGGTGTAACAATTCAATTTAAGAAAGTTGAAAAATGATCCTATAGAAATACCTGGGCGTGTTACAAATGAATTCAAGAAAATTAAATGATTCTAAAGAAATACCCGGTGGTACATTTGAATTTGAGAAAATTAAATTATTCTATAAAAATGCACGATTGTGTTACAATTGAATTTTACCCAAAACTTAGGAACGAGAAAAACGATCTAAAGTCATAAAAGCTGCACTATTCTAAAGACCAATACGTAGATGTAATAATTATAAATGTAACAAAGTATGAGAAGCTTACATAGTGTGGGTATCTCGGCATGCACATACACTCTTTACACGGCATCTGTTTTATCGTGTGGAATTTGTGGTCTAACGGTATAAATATCTTGATCAAATCAACGGCGACAAAGCAGCCTGGACCTAAGAATATATAGGTCGACATCAATGTCAATTCAACATTTCATGTGCAATGGAAGCAAATACATACTGGTTTGTGTGCCTTAAATCTCACAGCATAGAACTTTCATGATCACGTTTGCAACTTTTGGCACATGTACCTTCGTATCGTATCGATTTATGGGGCAAAATTAAGATCAATACGTAATTGTTAACTTAATTCAGCAATGCAACTGAGAAATGAATCTACTTAATACATTTGTTTGAAATAATGTACGCTGATAAATAATTATGTATATGTATAATTTATCATGTATGTATCTTACTTTTCTGTACTTTGTACCGCCAAAATGTTACTTGGCGATGAACATGTAAATGTTTTTGCCAATAAATTATTTGACTTGACTTGACTTGTTAAACCTTAGGTTAAACGTCCTTTTGTTTATTTTCTAACCAAATCAAAAAACAAATAAAAACAGAAGGCAAGGATATTCAATTCTTAGAATGAATTGATATGTCTTTATTGACACGGAAAATTGCGCTAAATATTTTATAAAGTATTTCTTTACTAATAGATAACAAAGAATATGTGATATACAAACATATATATCTAACCATTAGGTGAATTTTCAGGCGCGGTCTCTTTCTGCACGGTACATTTGCAATTTTTGGATTGTTTATTGCTACAAGGATTTCCTGTCTTTTTGTCGAGACAAACTTCATCATTTTTGCACACTCTTAAAATAAATACCATCTATATTAAAACACATTCCCTCAATTCAAATACATTCATTAAATGCATGTGATTGCATACACAGATATAAGATAGACAATATCATCATTTTGTGCGAGACTATTGAGTTCTTCTTCTATTGTATTTGGAAACTTTATATAACATTATATAAATTCATTATATAAACAAAAAAAATGTTAGAACAAAATATATGTTTCTGCTATACTTACGATCTTCCGAGCATATCCTCGCATCCTTTCACTGAAAATAAAGCAAAAATATACTTCTACTTTGATAAACATAACAATAATAATAAGTAAGTAACAAAATGTTAATGCACTGATATTTAAGGTATAAATATAACATAGGTATATTTTCTTTAGTTGCTCGGCTTAACCCTTCGTCAAACAAGTCAAACTGTACAATTTCAAAATGGTTATTATTGTGGCTATATAATCTGAAAATCATTGACACCGAAAGCTAAAACTACAATGATTATCCTTTTCGAATTAATCACTTAGTTGTTTTTGCGTTTTGACGTCGCACAAACACAGTCCATGTCATTTGGCGACTTTCCAGCTTTATTGGTGGAGGAAGACCTTAAATGCTCCTCCGTAAATTATTTTAGGCACAAACGGGCACCGTGCAAACACCGACGTTCCGTAAGTTAGCTAGATAGATAGCTTCTTTATTCCAAAGAATCAAAAATCCGAAAACACAGCGGTGAAAGGCAAGCGGTTTTTGAGGTCAATGACCTCAACTTGGCCACGAACGCCGTTAGACTAAGTTGAAATTAACCAATGTTTATCAACTGACCTTTGAGTTTCTTGCATTTACACTTTGGTGACATGTCATAGGGTACACATAGTTTGTTCTTGTCCACACACGCTTGCTTTGAGTTGCATTTTCTAAAATAAAATAGTTATTTTGGATCAGATTTTGAATAATTCATTCTTTAAAAGTCATAGACATTATTTTAAATTTCTATAAAATCCATTAAAGTAAATTATGGTTGTATCAAGGAACACAATGTTATGAACATATTACATTAATATGGTAAAATGGTGAAGGCAAAGTATGCAAAGCAAGAAAAATATGTATCAGTGATTTCATATAACTGTTTAATATAATTAAGATTTTAACTTTTAAGAATCAATAAAAAAATCAATCTTATTCATGTCCAACAAATTTCTTTCTTGTGGTCTTTCCGGTTGAAGATACATTACCGTAGATCGCCTTGTAAATGAAGATATTGTATTTTATTGTATTGTTTTGTACTGTTTAACTTTCCGAAATTAAGAAGTTTTCTATACACTCTGATGTGCACGGTTAAATACGATTTTAAACTCTGTTTTCAAGCTGTTCGGTAATAATTTATACAATGTCCCTTAGCATTTGACATAGTTCATAGACTATGGCCTCTCAAACATAGTTCATAGAGTATGACCCCTAACACATAGATCATATAGTACAACCTATAAAGTTATAACTCAACTTAATGATAAGATGGTGTACAGATTAAAACATTACCTACCGAATATGTTAAGCTATATCACAACAATAAATACCAATTTTATACGAATGGAAACAAGCGAGGTTTTACGCACGCGTAAAATAGCTGAGCAGGAATTGTCAGCTGTGCATTGCACACCTTTAGAAGAGCAAAATAAAATGCTACCTAGACGAATGTCTGTTTAGATCTGCGCAATTGTTGAAATTAAAGGGAAAGCGTTACGACACGAAAGTTCCAAATTATGTCCGTACTTTCAATAAAATATCAATTTTGATGATAAATATAGTATATAAAACCTTAAAGACATCAAGCCCGTTACAAAATCGAAACAAAGTAAAAAAAGGACACGTGTGACCTAGTTTTACTATATAAAAAGCGCCTACACGTATTTTAGTTTTTGAAACCAGTACGATGTCCGCATAGCTCTATCCAAATCTTCTCAAAAGAAAAAGACAAAACTTTAAAAGATAAATTTCCTCAAAATGAACTTGTTTCCGTGTTTCTAAAAGTCAATAAATATATATATTGAAAAATTCAGATGTTTCATGACAGTACAATGCAACAGCTCTTAGACCGATGCGTTTTGTCTAAATGGAACCATTTTCCCTTTAGGTGAAGACAACGTCTTTACGCATGATTAAATTTTAGCCTGAATTTACGATTGTAATCTCGGTAAACTACAGACAATTGCACGGAGATTAGAAAACATTGAATTTCCATTTGAAGAAAATGTAAATAAAAACGTTTTGCCAGCAATTTAAAATTTGTCATGAAGCATGAAGCTGATGTATGTGAAGGTTTCTATGTACTTGTATTTTTATTGACGACTCACAAAATATATATATAATCCCGCTGTTAAATGCGTCTTATTTAGAATCCTGTAATACACGGTTGCTTCAAAGCAATCACAACTGAACCCAAGTCATTTTCTACGCAACCCACGCAAGCTTAATTCAAATAATAAACGACATTTATTAATAAATAGGTGCACGCTAGGTATGTAAGCAGATGGAGCACGTGTGTAAGTCAGTGAGTGGTTGGCGATGCCTGCAACTGTTGACCGTCCTCTTGCTGTCTTACAGTTCTTGTGTTCTTAAGGGAAAGTAAGCTTGGTATAGTATCGCATTAACTGATTTGCCTTTGGTGACAGCAGCCTTAATGGCGGAACCCAGAGGTGTAAAGAATATCGCAAACATTTCACTCTAGGAATTTATGGTCCGCTCCTAATGCATATTTTGTTAACTTCTTGCCCAAACATTATTCTTTGTTTTTTTTTTATTTAGACTCATCTGTCAGCAGACGGACACGTTTTTTAAATAACATTTAAGAATAATACGATCTGCTCCAAATGAGATGATATCTATGGCGCAGCATCTTTTATCAGTAGCAACTGTTTTTTGAACATTCTAAGAATCATCAGTTATAGATAGTCTCTTGAGACGAACACATATTTGAATCGAATGTCCTAAATCACCCAACAACTAACTATTTTGAATGATTGGCGCGATTCGAAATGCGAAGCTGACAGTTTTTTCTTCTCAATAATTTTGATTTCCCTGTAATGTTCGCATTATTTAGCGGCAAATTTTCTCGACGCATTTATTATTATTGAACAATCGAATTATTTTCGTTACAATTTCATTGACTTCTTTGTCGATTTTATTGATAAAAAACATGTAGTTAAAACACTGTTTTTCAGTATCAAAAGCTTAAACTTTATTTTTTAAAGTCATAAACTCTACTGAAACAAAACAAAACAAAATACTATTTATTGCTTAATACAGGAACAGTTTAATATAAAAAGCATACTGAAAAATTCTTGAAAATAAATTGTAAACAAAAATAAAGCAATTTGAAATATCTCACAATTTTCCTTGTTTATCTAAACATTTTCCAACTGTCTTTGGCTTTCTTTCCCTTTTTGCTTCCAAGTAATTTAAAGCCAAAAATAAAAAAATTAAGATACTGCAAACACGAATTCTGTGTACCATTTTAACTTTAGCAATCTGATATTCAATGTTGAATAAATCCTTGTTAATACCTGTCTGAATATTTTGTTATGTTATGATCAGCAACACCTGGCTACAATAACAAAAATGACGGGGGGAAAACCAAAATCTTTATTGATTAATGTCAAGGTAGTTGTTTTAGACAAAACCAAAATACTCATTGCATAAGAGATAATTAGTTTGGACAAATCTTTGCAAAAATCCCAGCATCCGGTTCGTTGAGCTTTGTATGCAAAATTAAGTTGCATGAATTTGTAAAACCGGTATTAACATTCTGCTGAATGCATACTTAATACTTCAATCAATGATTGTTCATGTAAGGAGAATTTAGTTCGGATAAAAGATTTATGAAAATACCACGGATAAAAGATTTATGAAAACATCATTACAAAAAAGAAAGGACATGCGCTGTAACCATGACATAAACCGAAACTAGAGGCAATGAACTTAGGGTTGTATTGTATCACAGTTTGGGGACCTTTCTGTTGAAAATGTGTCGGAGTTAAATCGTATACATATACATGCACAGTGCGTTAACTGGAGTGCAGATATTAGTTACCCGCACTCCAGAGCATGCCCATTGATTTGGGTTTACCTATTGTGATGGCAGAAAAAGGGAAAGCAACAGAAATATCATATTCAGATGCTCGTTCATTGGTTACTTTTTTCTGACAATTCATATTGTGACAACAAGGAACGTGTTTTTATGTTTGACTATGATACAAAAGAGAAAGAACATCAAAACACTCGGCAATCTGATTAATACTCGGGGGCTACGCCCCCTCGTACAAATCAGATAGCCTCGTGTTTCGATGCTCTTTCTATTCGCTTGATATACACATTTCATATAGACATCGAAAAAGAAAGTTTATATAAGAATTAAAGAAAAATAAATTAGGAATGACAGTTGTTTATTCTTTTATCACTTTACACAAAGTTGTTTGTGTTTCTTCAAAATTATTCAAATATGAAATGAAACACAATTTTTGTTTGGGATGGTCCTTGAGTATATTCTTTAAAATGGATAGATATGTTGGTTTAAATGAGTGATGTTTTGGCATATAAGTGTGAAAGTTTTAACTTGACGTGGTTTAGGAGGCTTTTCTTTTTTTAGTTCTTCGTAAGAAACCTTTATTATTATGCTGTGACAAGTAATAGAAAGAGCATCGAAACACGAGGCTATCTGATTTATACGAGGGGGCGTACCCCCCCCCCCGATTATTAATCAGATTGCCGAGTGTTTTGATGTTCTTTCTTTTTTGTATCATAGTCAAACATAAAAACACGTAACATGTTGTTACAATATGAAACCCTGGCAAAAAGGAACCAATGAACGAACATCTGAATATGATATTTCTGTCGCTTTCCTTTCCTCTGCCGTCACAATATGTAAACCCCAGCAAAAAAGAGCCAATCAATGGGCATGCTCTGGAGTGCGGGTAACTAATACCTGCACTCCAGTTAACGCACTGTGCATGTATATGTATACGATTTATCTCCGACGCATTTTCAACAGAAAGGTCCCACACTAAGATACAAGTGATATTTAGTAGTTAAATGTATATTGATGCTCACCAAGCAATCCGGCCCATGAAAAGGTGTTTTAATTTATAATAAAATTTTTTTATCAGTTCGTGCACTGGTTTTTTGGTCTTTGTTGTTCTTTTTTTTTTGTTATTGTTGCTGTTTTTTCGTTCTTTTTACCTTTCCTTTTTTATATTGTTTTTGGTTTTGCTTTACAACATATAATATATGGACAGATAGAAAATCTATGTAAGTAAGAAAAATGTATGGAAAAGGATTGTTTTCCATCATGGTTTATACAGTTATGCATAAAATGTAAATTTTGTAAAATTAGTACAGAAACGCTGCAAAGCGTCCATGAACAGGCTATATCAAATCTAGCCTGCAACATTTTTGTTTTTTCGTTTTGATCTTTCTTTAGGTATTCTGCTTTTCTCTATTTTCGAAGAGTGTCATTAGAAAGCATGTTATATTACTGAAAACAGAATATACAAATGCCAGTGTATTATCACAATCTATTCCATTATACAAAAAACAAATACTTCTTCGTAAACGTGAAACCTCTTTCATACGTAATGCCTTTTATTTAAAAGAAACATGTAAATAGAAATCGAATTTTCGCTTTGGTGTTAATCATACTAAGAAATATTTTGTATAGTAAGTCCCGCATACAGCGTAAAGATTGTCATCTCCAACTGCTTGAAACTAGAACAACACATAAAATTCTAGCTATAAACTCTTTGATCTTTAATTGAAAATAATATCATCTAAATTATTTACAGGAGAGACATTGCATCAAATAGTTTGGTTGTTCTGTTTTTGAAACCTTTATTTTAGATGTTTACAGTATTGAACAAAAGTCATAATAGTTTTTAGAGTATTGATTTTAAGGCATACTGTGTAAGGGGAATACCTCTTTCACTACCAAAAAAGAGGAATGAATCAATCCCGAAACAACGTTAAAGATTAAACTCTTTTATTTTACATGTCTTGATTTATCGATCATAAGAATTGCGTATCAATACGCATGCTCAGTCTTAGAACTATATTTAGAACGCTATATAAGGAGCTGGGTGAGCCCGCTGTGTCCTTTCAGTTCTTGAACTCTATGAAAAAAGGTAGCGGCTGCAACCGTTTTTTCTGCTGTGCTTTGTTTTACATTTCAGCGGTCATCAATCACCTTATACATCGTCATGACTGGGACAAATGTTGTATGCTGGGCGACGGAGTACTTAAATTGCAGACAATTGCTAATTGAATAGAAAATAGTCAAATGCTTGATGCAACCGTTGTTGCAACACTATGATATGATCCAAAGGCCATCAAAAATGTTTGTGTGAAATATTGGACACACATAACGCGGTGCATATTAATTGTGTTAGTTTGCAGTATTTCATATTGCTACTCCTCTCAGCTGAAACTTAACATAACGTTTTTCTATTTGCGACCGTTGTCGGAGCAAATATGATGAGTATATAAAGTTCTTAAATTATTTCTATATCCAGTCATGATGGAAACTATGCGCCACACGAAATAAAAAAGTTATTAAAAAATTGTTGTATTTCTGCTTGCTTAAGACTGATTTGCGATGTACAATGGCCTCTCATGTTCTAGCCAGCAACTATCTTCCATAATTCTGTTATTATGCATTTATTTGGAAATTAGAAAAAATGGCGGTAATCATTGAACGCTAAATGTGACAAGTTAGTGCCATTGCATGAAAAGCGGCATATTGTTCCCAAGTTAGCCGCAGTGTATGTATGTATTTATGCACGCCATCTACCTTTTTGTCATATCTTATAAATAGTACTCAGAGAAAAGTATAAACAACATACTAGAAATTTACGTTTAATATCATTTATTGTTCATATGTAAAACAAAATTTCATTGCAATTTATTCACGGAATAAACATAACAAGAGAGAAGGTGTTAATATGGTCAGCTTTTGTTACTCCACCTGCTGCGGTAGTTACAGCAAGGCATCTTGTCCTCATTGATCATGTTATATGTTGTTTAATAGGCGAAAAAGAAATAAGAGATATTGCACAGCTGGCCAGTAATCCGTTAATATTTACAGGATACACATACATTTGAATTTATAAATTTTAAACTTTATTTTAGGCACATGGGTAGGACCCCAGTCAATTCGTTAGGTTGCTTGATAGCTTTATCACACGAAAGAATGTTAAGCCCCCTAACATATATCTTCATAAATTTTACATTCAAATGTTCCACATGCTTAGCTTAATTTAAAGATAATGATTATGCGACTTTTTAGCAAAATAACATAAAACGTGTACACCGCAAGTTTTCAACTAATAACTGTTTCACAAATTTGTGTACATTTATTGAGTAAACTGTCTCTCAAATTTTGTTTTATTTACGATATAGAATGTTTCAACGTTGCTATGACCGTTGGATACTTGTCCATGACTTTATGTTGGTGTTAATAAGATATGAGCCGCGTCACGACAAAACCAACAGAATGGGTTTGCGACTAGCATGGATCCAGACCTGCCTGCGCATCCGCGCAGTCTGATCAGGATCCGTGCTGTTCGCTATCAGTTTCTTCACTTGTAAAAGAGTTGGTAAGCGAACAGCATGGACCCTGATCAGACTGCGCGGATGCGCAGGCTGGTCTGGATCCATGATGGTCGCAAACCCATTATGTTAGTTTTGTCGTGACGCGGCTCATATATGTTGTATGATGATATATCCAATAACCTAGCTGGCCAGATCCTTAATTGGATAGAGCTCCATGTACTTCACCAGTCATGTCAAACTTAAACACTGATTTGGAAAATAACTTAAAAATCAACATAAATGTTTTTTGAATAAATGGAAAAATAATACACGTAAAACACATAAGATTTTAAACACATCTGAAAACAGCAGTTGTATAATTCAAAGGTGATCTAAGGAAAAAAACAGTCACTGGAAAGATTAGGAAAATTCTTTATTATAAAAAAATGTGAACGTTGAAATTGTATTTGCAATAGGCCACACAAAAAGAATTTAAACATGTTTTGTTTCCGGGTGCCTTGTAACACAAGGGAAACATTTCCGAAAAATTATGTGCTGTATAAAATCAGATATTTTAAGAAAAGGGAACAGTTTTTTAAAATAAGCTTATGAAATTTTAAAACTTAAGACGAGTTACATTTTTGATATTATGTTAGCGAGATGATATGTATGTAAATGATAAGCATTGAGACATAAAAATCGTCATTTTTAAGAAAACATAATTTCCTCTCTTGTCTTATGATTGCCCCAGGTTTTTCACTCTAAGGAACTTTGACAAACAGGTGAATAGCACCGTTACAATTTGGTTTGACGCGGCAAAAATCAACCTGAAAGAGAAAGACAACGGGGAGAATAAACAAGATATGCAATGGAAATATCCAAGCAGTAATTAAAAAGATAATTTTCTAAAGAACAAATACGGTGATGTAATAATTAAATGTTACTAAGTATAAGAAACTTAAATGGAAACGTAACACGACATAGCATGGCAGCATGGCAACATAATTTCGGTATCATGGCAACATAATGTTTGTATCATGGCAACATAATGTAAGTATCATGGCAACATTATGTCGGTATCATGGCAACGTAATGTTTGTATCATGGCAACTTAATGTCGGTATCATGGCAACATAATGTCGGTATCATGGCAACATAATGTCAGTTTCATGGCAACATAATGTCGGTATCATGGCAACATCATGTCGGTATCATCGCAACGTAATGTCGGTATCACGGCAACACAATGTCGGTATCATGGCAACGTAATGTCGGTATCATGGCAACATTATATCGGTATCATGGCAATATAGGAGCGAGAAAAGCAATCTAAAGTCATAAAAGTTGCACTATTCTAAAGACCAATACGGTGATTTAATAATTAAATGTAACAAAGTATGAGAAGCTTACATAGTGTGGGTATCTCGGCATGCACATACACTCTTTACACGGCATCTGGTTTATAGTGTGGAATTTGTGGTCTAACGGTATAAATATCTTGATCAAATCAACAGCGACATAACAACCTATACCTATGAATATGAATAAATCGAAATCAAGCCATGAAAGCAATGCATTAGAGGAATAAAATCAATGATTTCATGGCAGACATATGTCCGACACCATTATTTAAACACATAAGAAATTATGTCATCTCAAATGGCATGATGTTAGAAGTGTCTGTATGTCTTGAAAACCACAGTACAGCAAAACATATGGCATCCATTATACAACATCAGTCCACGTATATATATTCTTTTGGTTACTTGTAGAAAAAATGGCAATTGCTGCATAGATATCTAGAAAAACCTTTAAGCTGGACTGACTGTCGAGATATGGCGTAAAGAACAGATAAAATAACAAAATATTAGGACAGGCAGACATATATATAACTTCATTTGGCCATAGCTCCTTCACATTTATTAGGCTAAAACTAAATATATTAATCATTATAATCACTGAAAAATCTTATGAAACGTCTTTTGTCCTTTTGTTTATGTTCAAGGAACAATGATCCTCAAATATGCTTATTTATGCAGTCCTTTTTCAGCTACAACCATAAAGCTTAGCCATCTTTTGCTGTTTGCGTTTTGGCTTTGGTATAAGCGATTTAGTATTTTGCATAATTCCACATTTTACTAACTTTATTAAAATTAGTTTTATGCGCTATATCCTTAAAGAAAGCAAAATATATGTTCTTAATCTATTAAAGCAAGTTATAAAACAATTGATTGCCCTTTCTACGGGAAAAAATCGCTTGCTGGACTAACGTGCCTTTAATATTACATACCTAAAAAGAAAATGAGAAAACAAACAAAAACAGAACGCTAGGATATTCAAATCTACAATTCTATAAATTTTATAAAACATTTCATCTTGACAATAAACAAAAAGTTACCTTTAGGTGTATTTTCAGGAGCGGTCTCCTTTTGCACGGTACATTTGCACTCCTTGGATTGTTTATTATTACAAGAATTTCCAGTCTTTTTGTCGAGACAAACTTCACCGTATTTGCACACGCTGAAATCAAATATGTGTTTTAAATTCCATGTATTTTATTTATTCGAATACATTCATTAACATTAGCATATTGTCACATACGCAGAAATAAGTTTTATAAAATAAAACATTTATTGTAAGAATAATAAATTAATTTAGAATTATAATTTAATGTAAAATAAATCATTTGAACAAAAACTGTGAGGACAAAAAAGTATGTTTCTTCTATACTTACGATCTTCCGAGCATGTCCTCACATCCTTTCACTGAAAATAAAGCAACAGTTTAATCTTTTATTACTTTTTTAATAAACTTAATAATATCGGTAAGTTACTACCAATATGTTCATGAAGTGGAACACGAACAATCTGTTGTCAGTTATATGATCTTTTTGGTTTTTTGGGTTATGCTTTCAGTTGTAATCAAGATGAACAGTTACATAATGGTTATTACTGATGCAATATGATCTGAAAATCATTGACTTACAAAGTAAAATGAACATCAATGAGCAATAAAAACAATTTGATTGAATTATTTCTTATCTGGTGTAGAGCATATTTTTGTAAGAATAGGGCGATTATCAACAGTTAGACGTAAACGGGATCTTCACAATTTAAAAGCAGTAAGTAAAAGGACATACCATGGCAACACAATGTCGGTATCATGGCAATAAGGAACGAGAAAACAATTTAAAGTCATAAAAGCTGCAATATTCGGAGGATAACATGCTTAAGTAACCGATGTTGATCAACTGACCTTTGAGTTTCTTGCATTTACATTTTGGTGACATGTCATAGGGTACACATAGGTTGTTCTTGTCCACACAGACTTGCTTCGAGTTGCATTTCCTGAAAAAAGTCGTAACGTTTCAAATATATTTTAATTACTTATATTATGTTGTTTCGTTCTCTAAAGGTCGATACAGTTATTTCTTTAAGTTTTATAAAATCATTTACCCGTAATACTGATTATTCAGAATATGAAAATGTAGCAAAATTAACTGCAATTGTTGGATTACATGTCTAAAATATAATGAAGAGTTGAATAAACGAGATTTGATAAGTTGATTAATCGTGTTTAGGTCCAAACAATTTTCTAGGCGATATTCCGGGGGAATATTTCATTTCACAGTAACATCTTCTAATAAGGTTGAATACTATTTAGCAGACTGGACATATCATTTAATCTTTTTGCAATGTATTATATTACTTTTTCATGGTATATGTCATGTATGCTAATTTATGCTTATGTTTTGGATATTTATCATTTATTACAAGTCCAAAGCTTTATTTTGGAACAAG